AGTTGTAATTACCGACACTATTATATATAGTAGGAAATGCAATGAGAAAGGCACAAAGCTAGAATTTGTGACATGGTATCAGAAGGATTCGATCTAACTTGTGAATCCTTGTTCTCTTGGCTGAATAACGACACCCTACTGGGTCGCTCTTAAAATCGTGTTTCTTGTTTGGATTCCTCGAAATCGTGTTTCTTGTTTGGATTTCTCGACATCCCACTTCGGTGATTGTTAATCATTTGGTGCTGCTAGCATATTGTGATTTACGATTCTGTTTTGTATTCTCGGCGATTCTGCTTGGTGATTGTTGTTCTTGGTGATTCGGTTCGGTGATCGTGGTTTCATTGTTGGACCATTGGCGATTCTCGATCAAGGTTTCATTTTCTCGCTCGTGGGTGTCTCTTCGCCGTTCGTTAGTGCTACTGTGTGGGTTTTCTAATTTGCCTTTGTTTCTATTTATTTAATTGTTATTATTAAATAAATTTTAAAAAAAAAACAGCAAAAAGGCTTTTTGTTGCTCGTGAATATTGGATCTGGAATGGTCTTGTTATTTAACAATACAAGGGGTTATAATATAATGGCTATGGAAAATGAAAAGAATTTTTGTGTCCGTTTTACCGGCAAGAATTATTCTGCATGGGAATGTCAGTTTAAGATGTATGTCAAAGGAAAGGGATTATGGAGCCATCTAGATGATGTTTCTAAGGCACCGACGGAGAAAACTGCTTTAGATGCGTGAGAAACTAAAGATGCTCAAATCATCACTTGGATTCTCCACAGTATTGATCATCAGATGATTAATAATTTACGCTCTTTTTCAACTGCTCAAGAAATGTGGAATTATTTGAAGCGCATTTACAACCAGGACAATTCGGCAAAACGTTTTCAGTTGGAGTTAGAAATAACCAACTACAAACAAGGTGATTTGTCTATTCAAGAATACTATTCTGGTTTTTTAAATCTCTGGGCAGAACACTCTGCTATTATACATGCTAATGTTCCCAAGACCTCTCTCGCGGTTGTTCAAGAGGTTTACAACACAAGTGTGCGAGATCAATTTCTCATGAAATTATGTCCAGAATTTGAGGTTGTCAGAGGTGCCTTGCTGAATAGGAATCCTGTACCTTCTTTAGATACATGTGTTGGAGAACTTCTAAGGGAGGAACAACGTCTCATTACCCAAGGAACCATGTCTCATGATGCTACCATTTCCGAGCCCGTGACGGTTGCATATGCTGCTCAAAGTAAAGGTAAAAGTCGTGATACGAGACATGTTCAGTGCTTCTCTTGCAAACAATTTGGTCATATTGCTCGTAGCTGCAATAAGAAGTTTTGTAATTACTGCAAGCAACAGGGTCATATTATCTCTGAGTGTCCCACACGTCCTCCACGACCAACACAACGTCCAGTGCAGGCATTCCATGCAACTACAAATCATGCGGTCGGTCCTTCCACTAATGGGGCATCAAACAATAGTGCTATACAACCTGAAATTATTCAACAAATGGTATTTTCCGCTCTTTCGGCCTTGGGAATTCAGGGTAAGTCTTCTAATGTTTCTCGCCCATGGTTTCTTGATTCGGGTGCATCCAATCACATGACAGGTTCTTCAGAGTACTTGCACAATTTACACTCTTATCATGGTAATCAGAAAATTTAAATAGCTGATGGTAATATTTTATCTATTACTGATATTGGCGACATAAACTCTGATTTTCGGGACGTGCTTGTATCACCTGGACTTGCGTCTAATTTATTATCTGTTGGTCAATTGGTAGATAAAAATTATGACGTTAACTTTTCTCGTGATGGTTGTCTTGTGCAGGAGCAGGTGTCGGGGAAGGTGATCGCGAAGGGGCCTAAAGTGGGAAGATTGTTTCCACTCCAATTTATTTCTGATCATATATCTCTTTTTTGTAATAATGTTTTGAACTCTTATGAAGATTGACATAGAAAATTAGGTCATCCAAACTCTGTTGTTTTGTCCCATTTATTTAAAAATAGTTTGTTGGGAAATAAAAATGTTTCTAATGCCTCTATTTCATGTTCGGTTTGCAAATTGGCTAAGAGTAAAACACTTCCTTTTCCGTCTGGTGCTTATCGTGCTTCCACTTGTTTTGAAATGATTCATAGTGATGTATGGGGTATGTCTCCAGTAGTTTCTCATTCTCACTATAAATATTTTGTCACATTTATTGATGATTATAGTCGTTTTGTTTGGATATATTTCCTTCGGTCTAAATCTGATGTGTTTTCTATGTTTAAGAAATTTTTGATATATGTTGAAACTCAATTTCAAGCAAATGTTAAAATTTTTCACTCTGACTCTGGTGGTGAGTAAATGTCTCACAAGTTTCAGGAATACCTTCAACAAAAAGGCATCATGTCGCAACGATCTTGTCCTAATACCCCTCAACAAAATGGTATGGCAGAACGTAAGAATCGTCACTTACTTGATGTAACACGCACATTGCTTCTCCAAGCTTCTGTACCACCCCGATTTTGGGTAGAGGCTCTTTCCACAGCTGTCTTCTTGATCAACCGTCTTCCTTCTACGGTTATTGAACTTGATTCTCCTTTCTTTCGTCTTTTTAAAATTCATCCTGATTATAGTGCTTTACATACTTTTGGGTGTGTGTGTTTTGTTCACTTACCTCCTTTTGAAAGGCATAAGCTTGGAGCACAATCCGTTCAATGTGCATTTATGGGATATAGTCACTCTCATAAGGGATTTGTGTGTTATGATGTCACTAACCATTGTTTTCGCATTTCTAGAAATGTGACATTTTTTGATAATTAGTTTATGTTTTCCTGTATTTCTCCTGTCGTTAATGATATTGTTACTCTTCCTAAGTTTTCTATTATGCCTCAATCTATTGAACGTTATAAACCAGGTCATGTATATGTCAGAAAACACAGACAACAGGTTCCCACACCCTTTCTCGACGCTGGACCGCCACCTGATCCTGTACCGGTTGAACCCCGACGTTCTGGTCGAATATCTCGTGCACCAGATAGATATTCACCAGACAGGTATGATTCCTCACATACTTCTATGACTGCCACACTCTCTAGCATATCTATTCCTACTTGTTACTCACAGGCTGTTAAGGATGTGCGCTGGATAAAAGCAATGAATGAAGAGCTTCAAGCTCTTCAAGAAAATTTCACATGGGATATTGTCTCTTTCCCTCTTGATGTAAAACTTATAGGTTGCAAATGGGTGTATTCTATGAAATTGATTATGATGAAACATTTGCACCGGTTGCCAAAATGACAACTGTCCGCACGATCATATCTATAGCTGCTTCTAGTGGATGGACTCTTTATCAAATGGATGTGAAGAATGCTTTTCTTCATGGTGACCTGACAAAAGATATTTATATGACTCCACCTCAAGGCTTATTCTCTTCATCTAAAGGCGTATGTAAGCTCAACCGCTCCTTATATGGTTTGAAACATGCACCTAAGCATGGTACGAGAAATTTTGCTCCACTTTACTTGGATTCTCCTTTACTCATAGTCAATATGATTCATCTTTATTTATTCATAGCACATCTGCGGGTATTGTTCTGCTTCTTTTTTATGTTGATGATATGGTTATTACTGGTTCGGATCATGCTTCCATTCAGCGACTTAAGCAACAGTTACAAACCTCATTTCACATGAAAGATTTGGGTAACCTACATTATTTTCTTGGTCTTGAGGTTCATTCTACATCCAAGGGAATTTTTCTCCATCAACACAAGTATGTTACAGATTTGATTTCTATAGCCGGTCTCGATTTGGCTAATCCGGTAGATACTCCTCTTGAGGTTAATGTTAAATACCAGCGTGATGATGGTGATCTTTTGCCTGATCCCTTATTGTATCGACAATTTGTGGGTAGCCTCAACTACTTGACTATTACTCGCCCTGACATTTCTTTTGATGTTCAACAAGTAAGTCAATTCATGCATTCTCCTCGCCATCTTCACTTGACTGCGGCTCGTCGTATAATTCGCTACTTAAAGGGAACCTTTCACCGCGGATTATTCTTTTCCGTTGGAATTTCTCTTCAGTTGAGTGTTTATAGTGATGCTGATTGGGCAGGGTGTCCGGATACTCGTCGATCTGTTACTGGTTGGTGCATATTTCTTGGTTCTTCATTGATCTCTTGGAAAAGTAAGAAACAAGCAAGAGTTTCTAAATCTTCTACTGAATCAGAGTATCGTGTCATGTCTACTGTTTGTTCAGAAATACTTTGGCTTCGTGGTCTTTTGGCTGAACTTGGGTTTCCCCAAACAGAGCCAACTTCACTCTATGCTGACAATACAATTGTCATTCAAATTGTTGCAAATCCTGTTTTTCATGAACGCACCAAACATATTGAAGTTGACTGTCGTTCAATACGTGACGCCTACGATGATCGAATAATATCACTTTCTCATGTCAGTACTCAGTTGCAGGTTGCAGATATTCTTACCAAGGCTGTTCCACGCCCACGACATCAGTTTCTTGTCAGCAAATTGATGCTCCTTGACCAGCCGCATCAATTTGAGGGGGATGTTAATTAGGAAATAATAAAACGCAATTATTGTGAATAATTTACATTCATAGAATAGGAAATTAGTCATTATGAGTTGTAATTAGTCATTATGAGTTGTAATTACCGACACTATTATATATAATAGGAAATGCAATGAGAAAGGCACAAAGCCAGAATTTGTGACAACTAAAACCTGAAAAGCATTCTGGAGGTCAATTATTGACCTCGAAAGATTGAACCTCTGAGATGGAAAGCTTGAATGAATCATGGATGAATCTGAGAAAAAGCTGACTGAGTAATGCTCTTCAACGTGTATGCTCAAAACACTTATTAACCACTTAATTATTGCAAAGGTGGTTCCTACTTTTCTGTGAAAAGATATATACAGCTACTCAATAAAAATTTCAATGAGAGGTTGCAATCCCAAATTTCTAATACTCACTCTTTTATAAGATTCATAAACCTTTTCTTTTTATTAAAGTTTACTGTTTCTAAAGCAAGCTGGAGCATCAAAATTGGGGTATACAATAAAAACAATAGATAAAGGAGCAACAGATATTGGAGAATGTACACTATTGAGAACTGGATCCAATCTAGGAATTTCTCCATCATCTGTTAACTTTAGTGGATTACCATTCAGCAACATGGTTTTGCTTCTAAGGTAATCATTTTTTGAAGTTAAGTGATACTCCTCCCTGAATGTGACATCTGATCCTTTTGTTCCAACCCAAGCAAACGCCCTTTTGAGATGATTGAAGGACGAATGATCTGCTTGGATGCTACTTTTAGCGTCGTTTCCTCCATTACTGGCATTCGCGCGGTCATGAACATTGAGTATGAAATTAGTCTGATTGCTTAAGTTGATTAGCAACAGTGTTACTCCATCCTGCAGAATGAAAAAAAAATTAAGAATGGTTGCGTTGAGCTAAAATTTAACTTACTAAATTTGGTTTTAAATTTTTTTGTCAGATCAGCACACTAACACTTACTCTTCCTTTTGAACAATGGGCATAAGTGCGTAGAAATGGCGAAAAAACATCGCTAGAAGCTGCAAGAACAGTTTTCCCCATAAGCTGATGCCATAGTAGTGCACTGCTCAAATCAAATCCAAAACATAAGATTCGATACCATTAGAAAATTAGCAATATGTTTTACTATAACTATTATAACAAACTATTTAGCATTTTTCAATTTACAACACTTGCCTGTAATAATCAGGATTGGGAGTGAAAGTGGTGGTATTAAGAAGGCCATAGTTTCCTCCAATTAAGGTCTGCCTGCAATAGACCTTAGTGTTGTATCTGGATGAAAGTCCAAGTTGATCCAAGTACCTACAATTAATTCGAATTTCAGAATCTTTGATTTCATATCAATAATTTCTCTTTTACGGAATAAAATACAATCCTTAATTTAACACAAACAAAAAGGAGCATAAAATTATGGAAGGAATCTCCAACATTACCAAAAGCTATTCACGAATGTGTTAGAAACATATCGACCACCACTGTTGAATGCTCCCCCGGCTTCTCCAACCCAAGCAGCCGACCAAGGTCCGTATTTCTGAATAGTTTCTGAAAGATTGCTAAATAGAGATTCCACATTGCTCAATTGCGCAGGATCTAGAATCTTATTTTCAAGATGCTGATCACTACCTAAACAAAAACAAATAATTTTAACCTCTAGGAATAATGTTCTAACAGATAGACATTAGTAGAAAGAACTCTGAAAACCTGGTCCCAAATTATATATATGATGAGTCATCACGTCGACAACGCCAGGACCTGAAACCTGAAGAAGCTGATCAAACCATTCCTTTTCATAGAATCCTCCAGGTGCTATAAGTGAAGGTTTGAACTCGGTGTTCTTGTATAGTGTGTTTAAATTTTGCTTAAGCTTTATCAAGTCTCTCCCATATTGAACAGCACCAACACTTGCAGCAATGCCTTTACCACTTAACTCATTACCTATATATGAAGCATTCAAAGAATAAGTTTCCAATGCAATAAAATTGAACCTAACAAATAGTTATATTTTCTATTGTCTTACCAAATTCCCATGAATCAATTTTGTGTCCCTTTGAAATAGTGTAGTTTATGAAATCATAAGCATTTGTAGGGTCCCAATTTCCTCCCCAAACTTTCTGGATAATTTTATGTCTTCCAAAGAGTGCATTCAAGCCAAAAGTCACAACGGCCCTGCAAGTGATAAACTCTTACTTTAGCTCGAACACGGGAAATAACAACAACAATATAATATATAAAATCTCACTCACCCTGTGTTGTTAAAAAAATGATTCAGTTGATTCCACCTTTTCATGTGTAAACATCCTTTTGAAAATCCAAACAATCCACCCTCCATCTTCTGAAACGGTCGACAAGGAATCTTCAACCTTCCTACATCATACACCACTTGGTCTTGCAAAGAACCTCCGATTCTTATCCTCAAAGGTTTCAGAGCTATCAATCAACAAGACAACAACCATTGTAGAAAAAATAGCATCAGACTTCAAATAAACATTCCTAAGTTATACATATAATGCAAATTTTACAAACCTTGTATCGCCTTTGCGAGAATAGGATTAGACAAATCCTGAAAAGCCAATCCACGTTGAATAATCAATAAAATATTCAAAGCTTTGCGCAAACGGTTGGTGTGCAGCGTGTGCGAATAACGCAAACTACCTAAATACTAACCAAATTCAAAACAGACGAAGATTCCCACGGGCAATAACTGTAGTCGCATTTATCATGAGGCCACCAATCAATAGTAGCACAAATGAAATTATCATCATTTTCAGCAATTGCTCGAACTCCATCTACTCTAATCAAACCGTTTTCAACTTTTTGAGTTAACGCCGAAAGAAGAGAAGCCAGAAAGACAAACAAGATGAGAAGTAATCCCATGATCAATCGAACACCAACTCAACTTATCCAAATTAATTTTCTGCAATACAAAAAATAAGATAAAAAGCATGCAACACAATACAAGAAAAGAAAACAACAATCTTGTTTGGATCGACCAATAATAATAATGTTGTTGATGTTAAGTTAAATGCGAAAAAAAAAACGGAACTTTGGTTGGGTTGGAGTGAGTCATAGGAAAAGGTTTACGATTGAGAAGCAACCACAATGAGAAGGAAAGGATCGAATTATTGAAGTAGTTGAATGATTAAGATGGAATGATAAACCTGTCTCATATAGGTTTGCACCTTCACGCAGACACAACCAACAAACAAAACAACAACTTACGTTGATTTTGTTTCAGCTGAGGTTGTTTTTCTTTCATGATGAGATATAATTTTTTTGCCTCCAAATTAACCTTTCAAATATTAGGTGTCTTTTTGGTGGAGTGGTTCAGCAATATACGTCATTTTTGGTAAAACTCTTAAAATAAACTAAAAAATTCTCCTTTGTTTATAATAATAATAATAATAATAATAATAATAATAATAATAATAATAATAATAATAATAATAATAATAATAATAAGAGTGATTCTGAATGAAAAAGAGAGGAAAATTAGAGAAAAAGAGTGGCGGCTATTTGAGAAAGATTGAGAAAGAAAGTATAGCTTGTATTTAATATGCTACTACTATTCAAATAGAGACATTAGAATTTTCAAATATCTAAGTCAAATTTATTCAATGATCACGAATAATATACTATTTTCATAAATGTAGATTAAGAATTTTAGATCCACTTTTATTGAATTGAATTTTAAACACATACGAAAAAATCAACCAGTATTGATTTATTGCGAATAATAGTTTTTTTGCTAAAATTGACAACTACTGTACCAGAAGAAAAATAAAAGTTATTATGTGGGCAGTATACAAGAAATCGAAAACTATTATTTTATTTATTAATAAAAACTTCAGTATAATGTAGAATAAAGATTTTTCTTTTTAGTTTTCTTTTTCTATTTAAATTATTTTTATAAAAATAAGTTAAATTAATGTAACAATTAAAGTCTATCTATTTAAGGTATACATTTTTCTTTTCTTTCTTATTTGTCATTGGTGTGTTTGGGGAAGGATGTTGATTTGGCTTTCATATTCCACATTTGATCAAGTTTAGCATATATTCTATGTGATTTTTTTTACATCCATTGAAAAACGAGAAAGATTGTGAACAAATTTTTTAAAACACCTGATGTTAGTATTTAAGGATGAGGACTAGGATCAAATTTTTTTGAATATTTTTATCCAATTAATCCACTTTTTCAATTCAAAAATCCACAATACTCAAACTTCCCCATACATATCAATATACTTTTTCCACTTTCAAACGATATAATTTTTTCACATAAATATCAATATACCCCACTTTCAAACAATCAATTTTTTCACATAAATATTAATATACCCCATTTTCAAAGTCTTTATAAATTTTGTACCACAACATTTTTCTTTTAGGCTATCGGCTCATCTGGTTATATTTTAAAGTAAATTTCAATGATATTGACACCTCTTTCTTATTTTAATAAGATAGGAGGTCTTATTTTAATAAGATAAGAGGATAGTCAAATATCACTCAGGAGTTGGAAATTGTCTTGTGTAATATTTTAAACTCCGAAAATATTAGTTTTTTTTTTAGTATTAGAAGTAAATCATTGGATTTCTAGAACTCAATTTACAAAGCAGACAAGTTACAGGTCATCAGATGAATGTGATTTTGGTACTTGAAAGTCAACCAACTTCCAGGATATTTTTGAGCTAGAAGGATGTTCCTCCTCAACTTTTAATAAACATGAAAGTTGTTCCTCATGATCTTAGCTTTTCAAAGAGTACTAGAAGTCTTCATTTGGAGTTTTAGAACTCAAGATATGAGACTTGCAAGTCAAGGGTATTTTGGGAAAGTAAGATTACAGGTCATTTTCATTATAGGTCCATTTCACCACTTTTCATACCTCAAATGAAAATCTTGCCAACTTGAAAGTTGCTTAAAATGGGATCATTTGTTCAACACAACCTCAAGAGACCATTGACATGGCTTGGATTGGAAAATGTGTGAAAGAAATTTCATGAAAGGAAGCTTGAAAAGGGTTAGTTTGGATTTAATGTCAATTAAACCAATTCATGTCATATTTGTGCTTTTTTAAGTCCAAATAATGTTTTAAGAACAATGGGAATATTAAAAATCAAGTTTGAACTCATTTCCATGGTCAAATTCAAGGTTACTTCACTTTGAAGTAACATAAGGTAAATCAACCATTGGTGCATTTCCAAGGCTTCAATCTCAGCCATACATATTCCTTACACATCAAGCAAGTAAAATGGATCAATTTACAAGCTTGATGACTCTGTTTTCACCATAACCTCAAAGCTTCAAACATGAAAATTTGGATTTTGCAATTGGACTCCATGGGCTTCTATTGGGCCTGAAATGGATCAAAATCCATTGTATATAACATCTTTGATGATTCCTAACAGAAAAAAATGGATTTTGAAGCCAAGAATAACAGAATTCAGTTATAGAAAAGTGATGAAAAATGGAAAATCGAATTTGAGGATTGAGCAGTTTTCAAGCCAAATCAAGGATTGCAGAAGCTTCATTGATGATCAGTGAAGGATTCTGCACATTTTCCGCAAGTTTGAGCTTCATCTGAAGGCCCATTGGAGGTGCTCCAATAGGTAATTTATTTCTCACCAATACTCCCTGTTCTTGATGAAATCATGCGCCATTGTTGTAGACTTACAATCCCCTAGGTGCATAGAACGATTTAGGATAGTTTTGGTGAGCAATCGTGACAATTCTTGACAGAACTCCAAACCTTGCAAGCTTTCATTTTAGGTGATTTAGGCTTCAAAAATGAAAATAAATGGTGGATTCGTACTGTACGTGAAGTGTAGATCACTTTAGGCTAAAAAATTGCGAGTTTTGGTTCATTTTTGAGCTAGCTACAGTGGTCGTGCGCAATGAAGAAGACGACCGGAGCAAGTCTGACCGCCGTCTGTAATCTTCACCACCGCTGCAAGCCTTCCCTCCATTTCTCATTTGAAGTTGCCAGACGGAGCAGGAACCGTTAGATCTTGGACTTAGTCTCCCCATCCAATGGCTTGTGAGTTGTTTCAGAGTGTGTTGACCTATTTTGGGTACGTGGCATAGCGCGTAGCCTTTGGATCCATTCATTTAATATTTGTGTGGCTGTGATTAGGATGTATGGTAGGGCGGCATTGACTAAAACCATGTGATTACTCAGAATTACAAAAAAGGCGCCTGGGCCTGTTTTTGGAATTGATATCCACACCCCCTCCTGAGGCCCAACTGTGTTTTGAACTAGCCTCTATTGCTATTTGCCACGCCTGTTTCTCTATTTTCCATTCTTTTTCATTATTTCTTATTGTTTTTTGCTTTTGGTTTTTAATTCTTAAAAATAGTAAAAATGCTCATAATTGCTTGATTTTTTGACACATTGAACATTGATATGTTAGCTGATTTTAGGAATTAGTAGAATAATTTTAGGATTATTTTCCATTTTATTTTGATTTTTCTATTTTTAGTGGTTATTAAAATGTGAAAAGCATGTACCCTTAGATTAGGAACTTTATTGAGGTATCAAAACAACTTAGAAATGTCTAATTTTTCTTGAGAATATTGTGCACTTATTAAATGACTTGTAGGAATTTTCCCCCTGATTTTTAGATGCCTTTAGACATAGGTTTGGATTAGATCTTTAGGACCATTCCCATTTTGAACTTCCCCTAGCACGCATCTAGGTTTAGCATCTGGTTAGTGCCCTTAAACTTAGAGTTTGGATCTGGAATTTTTACCATGCCTTCATAACATCCTTAGGGACCTCTGGATTTTTTACTAGAATTTTTAGGATAGATTTCCCATTTTTACCTTATTTTACAATCTGACTAGCATTAATGTAGCCTTATGGGATCCTTCCACCTAGCTTTCCCATTTAGTGAACTTTGTTGCAACTTTAGGTACCTAATCTCCACATTATACCTTAGTTCATAGGTTGATACTTCCTTAGGGTGATTCTCAAACACTTAACATGGCATTAAGCTCCCTTAGGTTAGATTTCCTTAGAGCTAAACATTGAAGGTTTTCTTTAGAAGTTTGTATGATGATTTCTCTCCCTTGTGTGGCTTCTTTGCTTGGCGTTGCCCTGTCCCTTCATTCAAATAGTTCTATCTTTAGGATCCCTCTTGGAAGAGCCTAATCCTTCCTTTGTTTGGATTCTGTGCATTCCTCAAAGAGGTTGAGCCTTGGATGGACATTCAATGGCATAGTATATTCCTTTGGTTTATACTATCTTCCTTCTCCAAGTCCTGATGAGGATCCCTCTTGGGAGAGCCTAATCCTTTCTTTGGTTGGATTCTTTGCATTCCTAAAGAGGTTGAGCCTTGGATGGACATTCAATGGCATAGTATATTCCTTTGGTGTACACTATCTTCATTCTCCAAGTCCTATATTCTTAGGATCCCCCTTGTGAAAGCCTAATTCTTCCTTTGGTTGAATTCTGTGCATTCCTCAAGAGGTTGAGCCTTTGATGGACATTCTGTGTTGATACATATTAACCAGATACATTAGATTGACATCTAGGCTCCACCATTCTCATCTGTCCTATATTCCTAGGATCCCTCTTGTGAGAGCCTAATTCTTCCCTTGGTTGAATTTTGTGCATTCCTCAAGAGGTTGAACCTGAGATGGACTCTTGTGTTAACACACATCTAAACCTGATGTAGCTTGGGATGATTTTCTTGTTGCTCATCTTGTTTACCTCTCTCCTCCATGTTTTCCTGCTTGCTGTGTTGCATTAGGATATACTTGCATGTGTAGATACCTTTTTGTTTAGGTGCATGTCTGCATTAAAGGTTGAGCTTGTCTCCCTTTGCTTATTTGTTTCTTTTCCTTTTTATCATGTTTGCATTCCCTTGCTTGTATTGTTG